AATGCCTGGATTTTCCTCTAGACATTTCAGATTTGTTCAGCTCAGCCCTGTCTGCTCTAGTGGCTGCTGTGGGGTCAGCCAAGGCTTTTAGCACCAGAGCCTGAGCCCAGGAGACCGGCCAGCGGTGACCTGAGACCGGTCCCTGCACTTGCTTCCTACGAGCTGACCGCACACGTGCGGATCTTTCCAGGCTGATTTCATCCCGTAGGAGAAATGTCCCTGTTTGCTACAGATGAGCTGGCAAGTGCTGGGACAGCTTTGGCTCGACCTGGGTGCTGCTGGGGGCACGGTCAGTGCTCCAGAGATAAAAGGGCAGTGCTCCATGTGGGGCTCTTCCCAACAAATCATCCTAATGTCTTCTGGAAAGCATTTGCCAGGTTTATTGGGAGGTTTCTTTCCTGCCTCTTACATACCCGCGAGGGGGGAAAGCTCCATTTCATTGAGTACATGATAGACCTGATTTAAAGTTATGACAAAATATTTAGATTAAAAGGAATGGAATAACATTACTCTACCATTTTGCCCACACAGTGATTTCCTAGGTACACAGAGTAAATCACAGCATGCAGTCTGCTGGGAAAGTAATTTTTTTATAAAAAAAAAAAAAAACAAACTTGCAATTTGATTATTAACTTTTTTTTTTTTAAGCTGCTTGGGTCTAGAAACAGCTTCTTCCTGAAGAGGAGGTCTTCTCCTGCTCCAGCACCATCAAGGCTGGACGTGCCCCGGGGTTTGCCCTTTGCCTGGCCATGAGCTAAGGCAGAAGAGTTGTGGTTGGGATTGCGACCCTGCGCTGGGGCGAGGGTGGGCTTGGTGCTGGGTGAAAAGGGCTGTCTAGCCGTGCCCTGCGTGGGTCACAGAGACGGTATCTGGCTTTTCAGCGGGCAGCGCCTTCTGTGCCTCTGGCAATGGGGACACAGGAGATGTCATCCAGAGAGGGTGGAAACCCTTCAGCTCAGGGATGCCTAGACCAAGCAGCAAGACCTGAACTATTTAAGAATAGATGAAGCATTGGGCTTTCCAGCTCTATAGTCAAAGCGACTTTGAGGATGTGCCTTGCTAATCGTGTTTTTTGTTTCTTCCTCTTGCTTAGGGTATGCTGGTGGAAGGCCCACCTGGTCCCGAAGGCCCAGCTGTAAGTGGCGCTTTGTCTACACCTTGCACCGAAGGATGCGCGCGGCTCCGGGGTGCTGGGTGCACGTGGAGGGCTCAGCACACAGCTGTTCCCGGGCTCTATTGCTTCCATATGCCATGCATGTGTACAGACCGCTTTGGGGTCAATTTTCTGGTGCAAAAACAAACAGAAAGCTCTAATTCTTTTCCTGCTCGTTGTACAAATATGTTACAAATAACAACACATTTTTTTCTTTAATGGCTTATTTTTTTTTTTCTCTTTTCTATGCTAGGGCCTCCCAGGACCTCCAGGACCAACTGGACCCGTGGGCTTAATGGGTGACCCTGGGGAGAGAGTGAGTACCCATGTTTTTTCTCCTCTTTGGCCGAAGTCACGGATGGTTCCGTGTGTGAAAAATGGGACTGTGGCATATCACTGGAGCCCTAAAATACTGCTCATCCTGTAATAGCAATTTCCTCTGGGTCAGCCCCAAAAGGAGCTTATGGTAAGGTACAGGGCAGACTTTTGCATCCAGGGGCAAAGGGCTGGGGAACAGCCACGCTAAGTCAAATGCATGAAGTAGTTTTCTCCAGGTTAAAACCAAGAGGAAGGCTGACAAACACCCTGCTCTCTCTTTGCACCCTTTGGCACGTGGCTGCTTGTTCCGGTGCAGGAACAGGGCTGTGGCACTGGGAAAACAGGATAAGCAAGCACACAAAATAGCTGTTAGCACAGTAAAATGAAGTTAAGCAGTGATTCTGCATCCTCCTTCCAGCTGGGGTTGAGTCCCGGTGGAGGGTTTGGTTTTCTTTGGGTCCAGGGTGGTGCAGGGTCACGCCAGCACCCCTGCGGTGGGTCATTCCTTACGCCCGTTCAGTGTCCCAGACTGCTCCGGGTGGGAAGGTGGCTGTCGTGCAGCACCTCGCCTTTTCTGTAGGTGGATTGTTGGTCTGTACCAGCAAGCGCTAGAGACTGATTTATGTGCTTTAGCAATGCAGTTTTGCGTGTTTGGTTCTGATGTTACTTTAAATCAGTAACTAGCAGTAACTGCTTTGTAAACTGCTGCCTGCAGAAGCCTCCAGCTCTGGAGTGTCTCATCGAAGGCAGCTGCTCCCAAGCGCTTTTTTGGACTGTGACCTCGAATCCCATAGTTTAGCACCGCGCTTTGGTCAGGGCTGCACGTTTATTTGTTACTGCTGAGCCCTCACCTGGCATCAGGAATGACCTGTGTTTTGGGAGCTGCTGAACTCGAGCCTCAGGTCAGTAAGTGGTACAAACACTGTTCCAGCAGCTTTCCGTGTGCTTGGCAATGCCGAAAATTAAACCCCGCTCTCCTTGTCCCTCGAGCTGCGTCTACGAAATGACCCTCGTACAATACGCTCCTCATTTGCTTTTCTTCACCCACAGTTCGAGCCTATTCCCCCTCCCCTGTCGACAGCGGCAGCCGGGCAAGCGCGTACCCGCACGCAGCTGCCTGGGCAAAAAAATGTGCCTACGGGTGGGTTTCTGAGGGCGGGCTTGCCTGGAGGTCTGTTTTTCCAGAGTTTCTCCTGGAAAAAAGCGCAGGAGGGAGGAGAGCAGCAGCAGCAACACGGGTCACAGGAGATGGCACCTGAACACGTAACATCTTGCTGCCGTCAGCGCTGTCGCCCAGCGAATGCAAAACGCCTTTCCGAGGAAGGGAGCGCTTATCAGCAAATGCTTCCCTAATCCGATCGCTGAGGTCCTGAGTGTGTTTTTCCGACGGATAAGGCAGCCTGCTACCGTGGCGGGCTCGCATGCGCCGCAGCATCCCCCACCCATCCAGCGGTTGGTTTCCAGATGGGGAACCGCATCCCGTTTGCCTCCTGGGTGCCCGGGAAGGATAAGCTGGGGTGACCCGGGTTCTCTGTGTGTGTTTGGCGGATTTTGGCTGATTTTTTGCCTGGAAATGGTGGGAAAAGTCAAATGGCCAGGTTCAAATGGGAAGGTCTGGATAGATGAGGGGTGTTGTGCTGCTGTGATGTGTGTCGTAGCACAGCTCACTGCTGCGACTGCTGTTAAGAATTCGTGTTGTGGCCTTGCTTTCTTTTTTTGTCTTGAGTAACCTAAGACCCAGAAAGAACAGGAGGGAGAATTCACTCCGTTGCAGCCGATCAGAACAAGATCTCTGTGCTACCAGGGATCTCGCCTTAGCTTAGCTTGTTTTTAATGCTGAGGCGATGCTCCCTCTGCGGTCGCCATCAGGTGTGCATCAAACCTTCTGGTCTTCACTTCTTACTCCCAGCCTGGCTGCGGGCACGGCACCGCCAGCTGAGGCACCCCTGGAAGGGACTGAGCGCGGTTATACACCAGGGCGCGGGAAGGGATGTATCAGAACATGAAAACGCCAATTAGAATGGCTGAATATTTTCCCTGAGTCCTTCTTGGCCCAGTGCTCTGCACGGGTTAGGTGGAGGCTGAGCCACTGTGCCTTAACTTGTGGAGGTGGTTTGTTTTGTTTTTTTTTAAGCTGATATTTACCCCTTCTTTCTCCCCATAGCTTTTAAAATCCAGCTGTGTTCCCTTTTCTCTCCGATGTACCCTTGAGCTCTTGTCCTTCCCTAGCACTGCCCTTGCCATCATTCCTCTCCCACCCATGGAGGTGGTTCTCCATCCCACCTGCTCGTCAGAAAAAAGCAAGAGATGGGAAAAATTACCATCCCACCGGGGTGGGTTTGGGACCCCTTGGGGCCCGGCTGCCTTCCCCGCGGGCACAGCACGGGCAGGAGGGGTTGGGCTCCCGGTTTTCCTGCCCACGGGAGGACAAAGCAACCAGCTGGCTCCGATGATGTGCACGTTACAAAATACAGGCACTGGAAGAAATCAAATCGTTGCTGGCCTGCACTGGGAAGCGTTTGCTGCAGTTTTGAGGTGTGCTTGAGAGATGACTCAGGTGTTGGGGCATTCTTGTGGCAATGACCCTAACCTGGCCCCTGTGGGGTTTTTTAATTAAGGCTTTTTGTTGCCTTGTTGGTCCCTGGGGACTTGGCTGGAGTCCCCTGGCCGCTGCGCTCCCACATCCCCCTGGAGCGTTGCTGTAAAGACCCCCACCCCGTTTACACTCCCGGTGTATTTATTGTTTTTTGATGGAACAGTAATAATATTTCTTGTGGTTGTGACATGATTGAGAACGAGGGGCCCTGACTGTGCTCCATCGATCGGGTGCCTGCAAGCTCGGAAAGTCAATATGCAGCTGTGGGCTCAGCCCGTGGCCAGGAGCCAGGGCCACCGCTCAGAGAGGTTGGCTTAACCCTTGAGACACCACGGTCCTGGTTCCTCCTGCACTGCTCTGGCAGAAGGACCAAGGGAGGAGGGCTCTGCATCCTTGGGTGTCGGGCTTTGTGGAGGACGGGCAAGCTGGGCAAGGTCCCAGCAGTGTTTTACACCCACAGGTCTAGGATTAGTCAAAGATGTGTGTGGCTTCGTCAGACCCATAGTGGGTCTTCATCCTCCATGGGTCCTACGCATCGCCCAGCTTTCTCCTCTTCTCCTCTCAATGCGCTTCCTCCGCTCCTAGGAACTCGTTTGCCTGGCGGGATGGATGCTGACCCTGGTGACGAGGGAGTCTCTGTCTCTGCCATTTGTCCAGGCAGATGCAGACATTTGCTGGCCAGGCTCCCCTGGAACGGCCGGGCAAAGCCGATCAGCGGCAGACGCACTGTCCCTGATGGTGTTGCTCCACACCCTGAAATGAAAGGCGTAATTTGCATTCTAGCACAGACGGCACATCCTGCCTTTCGAAGTGTCCAGAACAGAATGTGATACAACATATTGTGCTTAGAGGAGTGATGAACTTGCAGAGCCAGGAACTGCAACTGTATTAAAATACTCCTTTTCAATTAGAGCATCTCCTCTTTTAATTTGTTTATTATTAACCCTGCGCATAGCTCATGAATTTACATGACACTTATATGTGTACGGTGAGGAACATTTCCTATGCCTGCATCTGATAGAAAGACTTTCTATTTGCAATCAGGCAGGTGCACTGAATTAATATACCACCACCATTCGGCTATGTTAATATTGGCCAACACACATTTAGCTCCGTTTTATTCATCGTGTCAGTTTGTTCATTTATCCCAGCTATTTTACAACGCGCAGAAGAGCTTGCGTCACCGGCAAAGCTGCGGAGCAGCCTGTTTGTGGGAGGTTCCGGAGGACTGATCTGGGAGGAGGGCGGTTTAGGATGACTTAGGCAGGTTTCTTCGAGCAGTGGGAAGAGGGAAAGATGGCACTTAGGAGACCAGAGAGCCATTTTGTGTGCTCCTGTGCTCGAGGTGAGCTGCAGCGTTAGAGCAAACTGCAGCTCTGTCACTGATCCCGCCGAGCATTTGGAAATCTGGGGGGTCTGGGTGCTCCGGGCTTGGTCAGAAGATGCTCCTGGGGGAAGGCTGGTCACAAAGCAGTAACAGCTCTGTCTTCCCAGCCCAGGCAGTGAGCGTGTCCCAGAGGATTCATTCCCCCTGAGGACAGTTTTGCATCTCAGGAGCACAGTAGGACCCCTGAAATCCTCACTGGGCTTCTGAAAGGCTTGATGCTTTCAGGGTGCCCTTTTTTCCGTCAGAGGGGAAGCGCTGCCTTACCTGGAAGACCCCAGATCTTCTGTTGGGTAATTTTCTGACCAGGGCTGAAAATGGCAGAAAAATAATCCTAGAGGGACAGAGACTTAGAGCAGGTTTTGAGGCTCGGCACTGTGGGCTGCTGGGCGCTGCTCTGTCGCTGTCTGCTCCTCGAGGAGCCTGAGCACTAACGCTCCGAGGTTTCAGTTTAAACATTCCCTTGAAATATTGCATTAGTGTTTGCACTCAGCATGGCGTTTTAGAGCACTGCACCAAATGAAAGTTGAAGTCCCCGTCCCTGGCTGCTATATATCAGCAAATCTCTATTTACATAATGAGATGACACAGATTTACACCAACCGAGAGTCTGGCATGCTGCATTTCTTAAAGGCATTCATGGATTTAAATTTACAAAGTGCTTTATGGGTTTGATCTCCCTCTGTGCCGTTGCCCCCCGCTGCTCCACCCCAGAGGAAGAGACCTCACACACCCAACCTGAAACAAAGAGAGGCGTTTATGTATCAAAACATTGCGTCAGCGTTTGTCAGGCAGAGTACACAACGAGAGATAAACAAGCTCATTCCTGATCCATCATGTGCAGGACCAGGGCTAAAGGAGAAGAGCAAGAGGGAAGAAAGTTTATTATATAAAATGAGCCTGGTCTAAATTATTTATTGCGCTTCTGCCCCAACAGATGGGACTGCCCTCTGCACCTCATCAGCGGAGTCAGGGACTCTGGTGTCGGCCAGACTAAGTAAACAGCACGAATGTAACATCAGGAGCTTGTCTTGAAAAATGGATGGGCTGGTGTGTTATGCAGTCTCCCTTCGGCGCTGAGGGAGCTGCTGGGTTGTTGCTTTTTTTTTTTTTTTTCTGATAAATCACTGGCTGCAGTGCTGTCTGCTGCAGCGCTGGGAGCAGCGTTGTTATTCCGGGCCGGTTGTGGTGCAGAGCTCGGCTCCTGGTCCGCAGCGCTGCTCTGCCCTGTCGTCGTGGTGCAGGTCCGGCCAGAGCCGTGCGCGGGGTGGAGCGGCGGCAGCTCTTCCCCAGGCGCTGGGCTCTGATTTAGCGCTTGAAACTTTGGCTTGAATGTTTTGGGTTCCTTTTAACGAGGGGGATGACGAGGGGGATGTTAAGTTGAACATGGCATAGAGGGAACGGAGAGATGTGAGAGGTGCAAAGAGATGCACTGAGATCTTGCTGTAAGACAACGGGGCAATGGTAACACGTCAAATGCTTTGGTGGTTTGGGTGTTTTAAATGTTCTGATTTTTAGGGACTTTGTTACCTGTTTCACTTTCCCACCTTTCTGCACCTCCCTTTGCCTTGCGGGGTGAGTGTGTGACTTGCTGGAGCAAGGTCTGGCTCTCCTGTGTCCCTGAGCTGCGTCCATGCACGTCTGGGATTTGCAGCAGGGTTTTATTTTTACTTTTATTTGGTGTCTGCGCAGGCTGGAGGGCTTCAGGCAGGTTGAAGAGAGTGAGAACTAACCTAGATGGTCGTTGCTTGCCCTTCCAGGAGCTTTGGTTCGCCACGGATGGATTTATTATTGGTGTTTAGTAAACAGGAGAGTGTCCGAGTCCACAAGCTTGAGCTGTTGGCCAGGCAGTCCTGTCTGTCGTGCCGTGAAACGGGCACCAGGGCTCCTCTTGGCCTCACCGGGACGTCATCAAGTCACTCTTGGCTCCTTAAGCTGGTGTGAAAATTGCAATTAAGCATGCACATGGAGTGGTTGGATGTCATCCTCACTTGCATGTAGGATTGCTGGATGGATGTTCAAATTTGGGTTAACTTAAGCTTTTTGCCAAGTACCCAGTTGGGAATACAAATAATCTATGGGCTGTCTTAGGAAAATTGGCCCTATTTGATTATTTATAGCTTCATCGATAGATCTTTTACTGCATACTCGTTTCTTTAGTACGAGTTAAAGATACTCAACTGATGTTAATCAGCACAGCTCCATTGAGATCCTCAGAGTTTTGCTGATTTACAGCCGCTGACAGGATCACTCCATTGTAGATGGAAGTAGCCTCTTAGGACTGAAAAAAAAAGACAGGAGAAAGAAAAATGGAATGACTTAAATGACTGAACATGTACAGAAACGTATTTATCTTTCCACATTTCTATCTCGGTGACCTGAGTTATGAATTTTCATACACTTTTTTAATAGATTTTAACAGACCCAACTAAACATTGATTCCATTAATGTCGAACATTGCAGAGACTTTTATTGCTCGCTTGAAAATTGCATATGGCAGACCCTGGAAATATGGGGACTAAGACGTAAGAAGAGGGAATTGCTAAGAAAAATCATGTGCGCTTACAGATGTACTTCCGCAAAATTTTGCTGTAGCATTGGGTTGCCTATGTGCTCAATGCTTGTCTGCCAAGACAGGGAGCCTTTTGTATTGTGACATATGCCTTTACAGCCACGACTGCTTATGTATGGGCATGACTAAAATGACGCTATAGAAGTTTATTTTTATTTCTTATTCTTCTTGTAGGGGCCACCTGGTCGCCCAGGTCTTCCAGGAGCAGATGGTTTACCAGGGCCACCAGGGACAATGCTCATGTTGCCTGTAAGTACAAGTGTAACTAAAAAAGCATTTAAATGAGTTGAGCTTCTTGGCTTTGCTACTGCTTAGTGCCTGTTCTTGCAGAAGTCTCCCATCACTGTTACACTAAGGACACATTTTCCTTACTATAAAAGATGGATCCAGATGGTTCCCCTTGTAAATTTACTTTCTGCAAAGCACTGTAACTTCTTCACTGGTCAAAAGCACAGGGCAGCTAGGTTAAAATTTCCAGAAGCGATGAATAAGCTTAAGTGGTTTCGACTGGGCATGGTGCTGGAGAGTGAAAGTCATGAAGAAGCAACTTAAGACACCTCCAAGGGCCCAATTTCCAGGCAGAACCGTCCCTCCTACAGTGAGGAACCTCTAACAGCTCTTCAAAGCAGGTGCCAAAATTGTAAGCACCTGAACGAACCAGAAAAAAAGATGACCAGTGGTTAATTTGCATTAGTTTTTTTTCCTCCTACATGAAGCCAGCAAGTACTGAGTCAGCCTTCTTGGTCCTGGGATGCTAAAGGAACGGTTATATTTTGTGTCTGCTTTGATGTGAGAAAACCCTAAGGAAACCAGCTGCTGAAAATAAGTGGTTAGGTACGAAAGGGAAAATTAGTGAAAAACCGCAGCACTCTTGTAAGGGCTCCAAATGGTAGGGTGATACTTGTGTAGGTTCCTGGCAGGGCGCCTAGGACAGCCTGGGCCAAGTGCTCAACATGGAGCTTAGCTGGCCATCGCAATACATTTGTTGACCCCTACGGTAACCAGCCGTAGACCCATAAATTGCATCTCTTTAAATCTGCTTGCCAAGTTCGCGTGGTCATATACCTAGCGCCAACCAAGCGAAATGCAGAGGTGAAATGGAGGTGAAGGAGCCTTCCAAGTAGGTTCTGCAGCCTGGAGAGTCCTTGCAAAACCCCAAACACACATGCAATTAAGGCAGGAGAAGGGTGTGTGTCCTGGAAAGTGGGCTTGTAGCTGTTGGGGGTGGAAGAGGCAGAAGAAAACATTGAACTCCTTCCCTTTCAAGCTTGGGAAAAGAAAACTTCAATGCTTGGTTGTTTTTAAATCCTTTGTGTGCTGAAGGATCCTGGCTTGAACAATAGGCCAAATTCTGTTGAGGCACACTGCCGCACTTGAGAAATACAGCCTTTGTCCCGGGGCAAACGGGCAGCTACAGCCAACTAACCTGATGCAACCCCATCTCCAGGGATCTCCTGGCCAACAGCATCCGTACAGGGAATATCAGCCCTGTGAGAACGTTGCGTTTAGTTTTGAACGGTGGTGTGTGAGGTCCTTACAGTTCGGAGCCTACAATCCCTCTTATTGTGTGTTACTTTGAGCTGGCAGAATTTGCTGTCCGGGCATGGACGTGGGAAATGGTTTGTGCCCGTGAGCTGGGTGACCCGAGAGCCCTGTGGTAGGGTAGTCTGGAAGGACAGCGATGGGGTTGGGTCAGTTGTGCTGAACAGAGTTGTTTAGGAGTCAGGCTAGTGTGACGGTAGAGGGACGGCAACCCTGTGACCTGCTTTCTCCATCTTGTTCCCATCAGTTCCGCTTCAGTGGAGGAGGAGATGCTGGCTCTAAAGGACCTCTTGTGTCAGCCCAGGAGGCGCAAGCCCAAGCCATCCTGCAGCAGGCCAGGGTAAGTGAAGGGCGGCGGGCATGTCTCTTGCAGCAGGCGCCCAAGGAAGCGGAGGAGGACCAGAATAAATGTATCAAAGGAGATGTCTTCATAGTTGCACCATCCGTGGTGCTGGTGGTGGTAACAGCCTCTCATCTGAGATGGAATTGCTTGTGTGGCTTGAGGTGATGACATCTGGATAACTTGGCCTTTTACTAATGGCCAGCAGTAGCCCAGGCCCTAGAAGCATGGTTTTGAATTGCCTACAGACCTTGGAGCAGGCCTTCTGCTGGTGCCAGTAGACGTAGACCTGTTGGCTTCAGTAGTGCTTGCTGTTATGCTGACAGTTTCGAGACCCTGGGTGAACTGTTGTGGTATGTGCTGTAGGGATTTTCTTTCTTTTCTTTTCTTTTTCTTTTTTTTTCCTCCCAGTAAATTGTAATAATTAAATGTATGTCACAGATGTAAGCTGCTCCCAACTCCACGAATCTCAACAGGCAGACTGCAATTTTCTTTAATGTATTTATTTGGGAATACATGATGACTATCCGTGCAACATTTTTTGCCTTGGATGACCTTATTGATTGATGATCAAATAATCCCTGGCGGTGTTTATTATATAGGCTCGCTGGTGAAACAAGATCAGCCCTGCGTGTTCCCAGTACATCTCCTGTTCCCTGCCTAGATGAGTACCTCAGTGGATAAAGATTCATACTCATCTGTTCAAAATGAAACTTAATTTCTAGGCAGTACAGCTTTGAAATTTTTCTTCCATGAATGTTTGTGTGAGGTTACATTTGATCACTGACATATTAAAAGCAGAGATGCAAGAGGCACAGTTATACAGCAGAAGGGAACACATGGGGAAGTGTCCTCCTGCGGTGTTTGCCCCGATCGTGTCCAGGAGGGACCAAATTCTGGCCGTAAGCACACCCTGGCAGTTAAGGGGAAAATACAAGATAGTTTAGGGAGGCAGTTTGCAAAGGGACACAGCTTTGGGGATGTTGCTCCTCTCCCTGCAAGCGAGATTTAGGTGGCTCCTCAGGTCTGAAGCCCACATCTGTCTGCAGCTGGGATGTGTGTCTCTTATTCAGAGCAGTTGGTGGTTGCTTTAGCACAGACTTTTTGGGCCAGTCTGCTGAAATAGGCTAAAAAGCAATTTATTTCACCCTCGAATGAAATAAAGCCCATCGGGGTCTCCGCCCAGCTGGGTGGTACATGTCCCTTTTAGGTTCCTAACAAGGATTTTGGCTTAGCTGGGGCTGTTCTGGTTTCCATCCAACTCCCCTTGTACAAAGGAATTTGATTTTATACATATTCAGGTAGAGTACAGGGCCCTGGTGCCATCAGCCACTGCATTTTCCTGTCCATTAACCTTGCTCTGAGAATAATATTGGTGGATTATGCTTCTGGTGTTACCTTGTCAGTCTTAATTTCAAGGCTGCCTACAGTTTTTCCATCAGCATTTTATTTTGCTGGGAAATAGGGGTTTTGACCAGATGAACATTTCATGAGAAGCATCTGCTTTCTCAGGCTCTCTGTTTTTGTTCTTTTTTTTTCCCTGCCTGTTGAAAATTGTGACTGTTACAAAAAACAAAGAACCTCCCTCCCTTCACTCAAAGTCCCTTTTCTCTGCTCTTTTTTTAATTTTCAGGTTTTTTGGGGGGGGGGGGGGGGAGAAAAAACAAAAAAACCACGGGGGGGGTTTTTGCGGGGGCGGAAGC